CCATTTTCAATATACAAAGCTGCTCTTATTTGCACACATGGAAGACAGGAATTCTATAATTCTTTTGAAGCTTTATGTGTGTGGAGTAAAGTACAATTTGATATTTGAAATGAATGAACAACTAGAACTCAAAATAGTATATCATACACAATAAAGCAACCACATAAAAAAAGGTACCTTTCAGAGGCATAGATGTCAAAATTGTTAATTAATCTGTCCAAACAGAAATGCATTAATAGTGAATTCATCTATTGAATCTGGATGTGATAGTTTACCATTTTAAAGATTACAGAGCAGAGCCACAACATGGCTCAGTAGGCAAAGGCATTTGCTGCTAAACCCAGTGATCTAAATTGAATCTCTGGGACATACATAGTGAAGGAGAAAACTAGCTCCTAAAAGTTGCCCCTTTGACCAACACACAAACCATGGCACATGCACACCTGCACCCACATAAGTAAATATATTGTTTAATTAAAGATTGTGATATATCCTACAGAATATATTGCTCAGTGAATATTCCTCTTCTGTGTCCTAGCGGGATTTAATGGTTTCTCTTTACCCAGACAATTTTTATCTAACTCTTAGGACTTTGATTTGTGTATTTATTTTCTCTATGTGTATATGCCTAAGCACTAGGAGGTCAGAAAATGACTTCGGGAAATTGGCTTTTTCTCCCTCTACCATTTGAGTCCTGAGAATTGATTTCTAGTCGTCTGGCTCAGAAGCAAACACACTACCTGCTGAAGTATCTTTCTGACCTTTATTTGTGTTTGAATATTGTTTAGTATACCCATGTTTATAACATTTATTCACAATTCTCAAAAAATAAAAGTAAAGTAACCCAAGTATCTATTAATGGGTGAATAGATACACAATGAACTGTATTATTAAGCCTTTGAAAAGCAAGGGAATGCTGACATAGACAATAGCATGGATTAATTAAGAACATTGTGCTAATTAAGGTAAGACAATCACAAAAGGACATACTGGGTGGTTCTATTTAATAAGTTACCTACATAGAATAGTCACAGTAATTGAGATAAAACAGTAAAGGGACAGAAAATGAGGAGTTACTCTTTAATACTTTCAGTTTTACAAGGTGAAAAAATTCCAGATGTGGATATTGTTGAAAGTCACACAATATGGGGCAAGAGAAATGGCGCTCAGCAGTTAAGACCACTGTGGCAGAGAGCCTGGGTTCAGTTCCTAGCACCTGCCTTGGGTGTTTTACAATTGCCTGTAATTCTAGCTTCAGGGTGACATGACACCTCTAGCCTCTGAGGGACCTACATGGGCTAGGATACTATACTGAGGGTATGCATGTGCACATATATGATTTAAAATAAACTTATTTTAAAAACTATGCAAATGTTTATTATCATTGAGCTGTATACTATATGCATGCCCCACAATTTTATTTACTTTTTCAGTTCTAGAGATTGTCCCTAGTACTTGTACATGGTAAGCATTGACTTTTCCACTGAGCAACACCCTTAGTCACTGTACCAATTTCTGGTGGGAGGCAAGTGAAGGCAAGATCTCCTATGGACCAGGCTAACCCAATACTTCCTGTGTAACCAAGGATGGATGGCATTGAACTGCTGGTTTTCTTTAACTACTAGAATGCTGAGATTGTAGGCATGTACCACCGTATTACTTGTATATGATAATTGGATATGAAACCCATGGTTTTATTGATGTTGCTGCGAGGCAAGCACTTCGTCAACTAAACTATATATACCCTCAGCTTTCTTTACCAGTTTTTAAAATGAGTATTTTAAATGAAACTTCCAAAAGCCAAAAAAATGCATGTAAATTAATTTTGTTCCTCTAAAGCAGGAATCAGCTAAAACTGTTTCACCAGGGCTGGAGAGATGGCTCAGCAGTGAGTCATTAAGAGCACTGGCTGTTTTTCCATAGGACCCAGGTTCAATTCCCAGCACCCACATGGCAGCTTAGAGTTGTCTGCAACTCCAGTTTCAGGGGAGTTGCACACCAATGCACATAAAGTTTACCTTTTTAAAAATAATCACATTTTAAATTGCTGTTAAAGTACCTATATAATGAATGGTCTTTGCCCTTCAGAGCCTAAAATTTTTACTATCTGCCTCTTAAAGAGTTACTGTTCTTTGTTATAAATTGACATTTTAATGAATTAACTCTGCTGTTAACCAGTTTCTTGTTATCCCAGAAACAAGGCACTTAAGTGTTCTGACCCATGTTTTCCAGTCTCTTCAGAAGAACTGGGTAAGAAGTGATCAGAAGATGGGAAGCAAAAAATGAAATACAAATCTTCATGTTTATTTTACTTCATTGAACAATGGTATTATTTACTTTGTTGTTAGCAAGTGTATTGCTGACCAACTTCCTGATCTGAGCGAGATAGTTTCTCAGTTTTAAGAAAGTCTAAAATAGGGGACCCTTAGTTTGTTATTGTTCTGTTTTGATTTTTTAGCAGCCAAATTTTAAAGTGTTAAAAATTAGAACTTGGGGAGCTGTGTGTGGCGGTGTATGGCCTTAACCCCAGCATTTGGGAGCCATAGACTGGCAGATCTCTTGAGTTTGAGGCCAGCCTGGTCTGGTGTGTGTGATAAAAGACTGCTTGCTCTTAAGCTAGGATTGGGTGTGAGACTCATGCATGCTACCTATGTTTGCTGTCCTCTTAGGTTTCCCCCCAGCTTTAAAGAATGAGTGTTACTGGTTTGAACTAAACTTTTGGGTTTTGTTAGAAAAGGAATGCTTTCTGGGAAATCAGCTATTTTTAAGGCACACTTACTGTGCATTGGTATCCAAAGATCTTAAAGCTTTTTAGGTCCCACTGACGTTTTGTAATCCCTAATAAATAAACTAAGAACATTCCCAGGGAAGATTGTTGTTTTAAATTTGAGAAATAATGTGGAGTCTCTTGCACAGAGGTCACTCAGAAACTGTGTTCTTAGAGCACATAGTCAATTGTCAGAAATGATTTACAGCAGTTTTTTACAGACCAGTGGCTGACCATGCCTGCAGCTACACCCCAGCATTAAGTGAATAGACAACCTTTTGGGTCAAAAAGGCCTTGAGGGTGTTGGGAGGCAACTTGTACAAAATTAAATGTTTGGTATATGAAGTAGTTACTTTCCATTACCTGCCCTCTGTTGTTTCTCTACTAACTGGGAAGAGCACCTTTGCTTTATCTTGATTTGAGGGGGGTTTGAGGATTGTATTTTGGTTGCCTACTTAGAGAACCTTCATTAAACCCAAATTTAGATCTATTAGCTATTTTATTCTTGTAGATAACTTTATTTTTCTGTGTGTATATTTCCATTATATGATTTTGTTCTAATAAAAGTTAGTGTCTAGCTCTACAGCTTTTTCTTTATTAGTTAGAGACATAACATTGGTCTTTATTAAACTAAGTGGATTAAGTTGACAAGGTAAGTATGTTATTTTTCAAATTTTATACATTCTAAACCATACCGAATGGTTGTACATTTAATTTCAGTGTTAGAATCCAAATACAACAAGATGGGAACTTAGAAATGTCTCCCATTTACTTGATGATTTTAAGTACTTTTGTGTATGGGTATTGTACCTGCATGTGTGTATATGAACCATGTGGGTGCCAGAAATTGAACCCAGGTTAATAAACCATCTTTCCAGCTCCCTTCCCCCATTTACTTTCATTTTTGTGAAACTTTGTCTTTTGTTTTATCCCTCCCACACATTTGACAGCAGCTTGAGATGTCTGCACTTTCTCTTTAGAGGGGACAGTTAAAGCATTTCAGTGGAACCCTGACAATCTAAGTAGGTCAGCTATCGTAGCCTTCAGACCAGAGACTCTGGAGGGGTGTAGCCCTCTATCAGCTGAGGCCATCTGGTAGGCTCAGTGAAAGAGGGTTAGTTCTGCCATTCTAACTGAACCAATTTGTCACTGAAATTATACAGAGTTGACTGTCATTGAGCTCCTTTTATTTCCATTTTTTGGTGCCAAGGCACATGTGGAGGTCAGAGAGCAGTCAGTTTTCTCCCACCATGTGGGCTCTGAAAACCAAATTCAAGTCAGGTGCCTTTAAAGCCCCCTGAGCCCCCTCACCTTTATCTTCTTAAGACATGACTCAGACACCTGTAAGCTCCCTGAAAGTTGTGATATCTAGTTATTGTGGAGCTGCACCATGCCTTAGTCTCTTTAAGTGTCGTTGGGAAACCCCATTCTGGTGGAGTTTCTTCTCTTTACTATGTAAAAGTTATATAATCATGACTGATTGGGTCATTTCCTATTTTTAAGAAACTTCTGAGTCACTTTGTCTTAATAGATCTGAGAGTTATTTTCAAACAACTGGAGCTTTAGTTCTGCATTTCAGATTAAATGCTTATTGGTAACTTTTTTTCTTCACATGAAAACTTTGTTGGCAAATACAAATAGCTCAAAAAGTCTAATCCTGACTTCTTTCTCAACTAGTCTTTTATGGTCAGTGCTTAATTTAATAAGATTGACACATCGGTGCGGGGGGGGGGGGAGTTGTCCCTGTGTATGGGCTCAAAGCTTATTTTTATCACTACTGCTTGAGTCCTCAAATATTTAAGGACCAGTCCAGAGTCCGAATGCTGACGATACAGTTTCCACATAGGCTGTTCAGCTTGTTTACAGTCTTAGATCCAGTGGCGGTGCTTGTGACAATGTAAACTCTAAGGAGGAGATGGAATGACTGGTGTTGGAATTGCCGTGGTCACAGGTTGGATTGGAAAGCACATCATCAGTCTTGAGGATCTTAGGTACAAGTCATGAAAAGTATAAACAAGTCATCAATTCTAAAATGTATTGTGTGATTTGGGAAGTTATATCCTGAATTTAGTAATGGCTTAAAACTTTACTCCTACTTGGAGTAGAGTATTTAAAAGAGTTTCTCCATGGTAGCTTTATATTTTACTGCACTTTATCCCACTTTTATTTTTTCTACCCCTTGATGCTAGGACATGAAATCTATAAAGGTTGTTTGTTTTCCTCCTCTCCCCAGGTGGTCTTCGAGGAATGGCACGCGGTGGCCTGGCAGGACTGACACTCACCAGTCTCTATGCGCTGTATCACAACTGGGAGCACATGAAAGGCTCCCTGCTCCAACAATCACTCTGAAGACCTTGGCCACCTCAGGATGGGGGACATTTCACAGTCATCCAGACAGACTAATAAGTCAGTCTGGAGTAGCTTTCTCTTTTGTACTACAATTACTTTGAACAATTGGAGACTCTGATTTGCTGTGACAAAGATCATGGATGGTTAGCCTGGACTGCACTGTGTGCCCTTAGTGAGCGGAAGCCAAACCCTTTGGTGGCTCACTGAGTATGTGTTCTCTTCTCCTTTGGAGATGGTCTCACACCTGTTTCTCTCCTACCCCAAAATTGGAAAGCCACTTACTCTCCAAATTCAGGCTGTACTTATTTTCAGTGCTTTTATCACCATGTTTATCAGTTAAAAGTCTAAAGCAAATGTTGCCCTGTATTCCAAATAAAGTGTGAAAATAGAATCAAAGTCATAATTCCAGCATAAAACAAAGTATCTCCAAGAAATAGCATCTGGGTGTGAAAGAAGATGGCTTATTGGGTAAATCACTTGCTGTACAAGTGTGAAGACCTGAGTTTAGATCCTCAGCACCAACATGCCCAGCAGGTCTGGCAGCCTGCCTATGACCCCAGTGCTCAGGAGGCAGTGACAGGATCCTTGGAGCAAGCTGACTAGCTAAGTTCAAGTGAGATTCGGCTCCTGGTACCTCAGGTAAAGAGTGCCTGAGAAAGACCCCACTGTCGACCTCTGGCATGAGAACACACATGCACAGATAACTGCTAGAGTCTAAAGCGACAGCCTTTTTCCTGCTAGAATTGGGACAGAGCAATGTGTCTGTTTCTGGTGGAATGAAGGGCTACCGACAGCTAAAGTGAGATTTTCTTCCATCCTAGCTGACATTAAATAACCTCAAGATACTTTAAGTTAATCATTATAGTATGCTAGAAAAAACACTCTGTTGGGACCCTCACTCTATATGGTAACCCTTGGGGAATAAATATTTAAGGTTGGAAGTTTTCTAAGAAGCCTGGGAAAACTAAAGTGGAAAAGTGACAATCACATAACCATGCTGCAGGGTACATACCGTGATTAAATACTAAGCAACTCTGGCTGCTTGGTTGAGAAAAATACACTAGGATCTTTTTGAATATATCTACTAAGGGGAAATCTGGCAGAAAAAAAAAAAACAAACCGATTGCACTGTTGTGTGCATGTGTGCTTTTAAATAAAAATATATGTAGTTTTTTAGGGAAAGGCTGAAAATGATAGGGCTCATAAGTTCCTTGTATATTTATACTGTTTATTGCATCCTTACCAAACATTAACATTTTGAGCTTTACAGATAACACAAACAACTGTGATGTGGCCATTATGCTTTTAATGGAGATAAAAAATTTAATCAATGCAAAAGAATGTTTTATGTATCATTAGCATAGTGATTAGCTTAAATTACATTTTAATAATGTAAAATACAGTGTGTTAGACCTCAAAAGAGAAACTACAAAGTTCCCTGCAACTTAAGATGTTGGGAAGGCTCTTTAAATTGTTTTTACCCACCAACTTTATAATACTCAGTGGTATCTGGGGAGGCTCCTTTCAGCTGTGATCCAGAGCTTTACTAAAGCTGTATGGTAATGTCACTATGAGACCATAAAGTTTTCCCACAAATACTTCCAATAGGCAGTTCAGAGGCTTAATAGTTCAAAGCATAGAAAGCAACTAAGTTATCTTGGAGAATTGTAAAATATCAATCCTGCTACTCTCCTACAGAGAAACTTTCTAAAATGTAAGCATAACTCAAGGTCCTATGAAGATTCAATAAACACTCCAAGGCACAAGTGTTGAACACAGCCTGTTGATCAAGATGTCATTGCACTGTACTTTTGGAGATTCAGGATGCTGTGCTTGAAGTGACAGGACATTGACTTTATCCCTAGTTAAGAGCACCAGGTGTCAAGCTCAGCTTCCATTTACACAGGGTGCACCAATAAATCCTAAAGGGTGATAGGTGGTCAGTACTACATTCCTAACACATCTTGCCTTTCTGTTTTTGTTGGCTTGGGGCTCTTTAAAGCAAGGTTTGTAGAACTTCAGGGGCTCTGACTGCCCTAAAAGTGGTCTTGAAGCAATAAAGAGCTTAGTAGATACTTGGAAAGGAATAAAGGCAGCAATTGCAGTAGCTTAATTTCTTTTGAATGAAAAATGTTAGAAATGGCATGTAGGCTAAATATCTGATCAATATCAAAAATTGCAATATAATTAATAGACATTTAGTAGGGGGAAACATACTGTATTGGCAGGGCTAATTACTTCTGTGAAATATTCTATATAATATATCAACTGAACAAAAAAATTTCAAACCACTAGAAGTTCATAGCAAGAGAAACAGCTAAAAGGCAATCAAAAGTCAGAAAAGTTTACTAGTTTTAGAACACATTGACACACTTGATATAGAAATATTTCACTTTTAAAACTAGTGTTTGCCGTGGAAGCTGCTAAAGGCCAGTGTCCAAAATGCTGTTTCTAGTAAGGGAGTCAGTTTGGTTAGTGCTTCTATAAGAAGGAACTGCAATACCTTAGCATTAAGCCTCTTTCACACACTAGCTCATAATTGGATGATTTCTGTTTACTAGTCCAAAACTAAGCAGGAGAGAAATGAAGCTGACTAGTCAGGCCTGGAATAAACAATGGCTTGGCAGGTCATAGTCGCTCAGCTCGAGGATGTGGTGATCTGCAGGAAGGCTGCTCAGTTCTAGTAGTCCATTACTTCACATCTGTTAAAAAAAGAGAGAGAGAGAGAGATAAAAGCCAACAGAAATCTCTGTTCACTGCAGACAGCAAAATTCTTTCCACTTTGAAATGGACTCTGTTCTTAAGATACCACAATCTGAGTCTGGAGAGATGGCTCAGCAGTAAAGAGCACTGAGACTGCTCTTCCAGGGGACCCAGGTTCAATTCCCAGCACCCACATGGCAGCTCATAACAAACTCCAGTTTTAGGGAATCTGGCATCCTCACACAGACATACATGCAGGCAAAGCATGAATGCACATAAAAATAAATATTTAAAAAAATCCATGAGAGGACAAGAGAATTACAGGCAGCAGATTGAAAAAGTCACTTAAGTATGATCAAATAAGTTCAAGTGTATAACATTTTAATGGTTTTCATTTACTACTCTGTGTGTTTGGTGCACACAGGGCATTTGTGCTATGGTGTGGATATAGGAGGCCAAAGGACAATTCTGTGGAGTCAGTTCTATCTAGTTTTACATATGTTCCAGGGACTGAACTCAGGTTGTCAAGGCACTTTTCTTTTGCTAGCCCGCAGTACAGTAAAATTTTTAAAGTACTTCTATTCATGTACAAATGAATAGGAATATGGTTCAGTGAGGGAAAGCCTAAGTTGGTAATAATGGGCACACATTTATGGGCAGCTATGATAACAGTGTGGTGCAGGTACCCACCTGTAGAGGAGTTCTATACAGCCATTTGTCTTTATCAACTTTAAGCTGCATACAGGCAAAAAGATCACACACTGCAGGGAGGCCACGGAAGTTATGTTCTTCTTGTAAGGGTGAATTCAGAAATACTTCCTGCAAGAAGATAACAAAGATGACTACTAGGAGGTCAGGAACAGAGGTGGCAACTGCTGCTATAAAACAGGCTGAACTTTCTTTACTGCAGCATGGAGGCTAAGGACCTGGGAAATTCACAAATACAGTGGATTATAAAATCATCCATCCTGTTTATGACTTGGGAAAATTACTACCTTGGCCAAATTTAGCATAAATTAAAGCAGATTCAAATGGGGTAAATTTTGATGTCTGCTCACCTGGGCCTTCTTTCGAAGTAGCCACTTATCTTCTCCAGAGGAGAACTGGCTGAGGTTTCCCACTTTCTTTCCTGGTAAGACCCAGTCAGCAGTATTAAAAGGATGCCAGGAAGTGGTCATAGGACCTTTAAGCATTTCTTTACCAGCTCTCTCCTCAGTAAGGGGCACTTCCTTAGGGTTTCTTCCTTTACATATGGGCCGAATAAGCCACTCTGACAGGCAACTGTTCCTTATGACTTGGAAGGGATCAGCAATTCTAGCAGGAGCCATTGCCTTGGGTGCCTTAGTTTGTTCTGTTAGCTCATTTCTGGAAGTGCAGAGCCACAGGTTCAGGAACTCTTTGTATTTCTCAGGCTCAGATTTGGGTTCCACAGGCATTCCATTCTTATCTTTCCCTTCGTTCTTCAGAAGCCATTTATACACAGCTTCCTTCTCACAGTTGTCATCACACACACACTCTGCAAAGCTTGTGCAGGGTTCGTTGGCTCTGCATACTTCCTCTACTCTACACGGGTCCTGATGGTTCTGGACAAGCCAGCCCTCAGTGCTTATGCCGGGGACCGTAAGTGGTTTTTTGGCCTCCAAGTGGTCATTCAGGCATTTCAAATTACCCAGGTTCTCAATCTCCACACCTCTGGGCTGGTTGCCCTGACAGTTGGTACAGGAGTCAGGCTTGACAAGCCAATCATTCACATTGTAGGGCTCTTTGAACACCTGGAATAAAAGGTTAAACTTCTCACTGGTTTCACAGCTGCCATTCTCAGGCTTCTCCAGTTCACAAGGTTCTTGGGGAGTCACCAACCAATCCGACAGGTCCAGTTCATCTTGATCAAGGAGCTCTATATCTTGGACCTTTTCAGCTTCAGTAGAGAAAGAGCTGGTGTTGCAATGGCTGTTACACTTTGAGGAACTTGGTTTTCCAGGAATGTCTTGTTGATGACTGTTGAGGAGCCAGTTCTCTAAGCCCTTTAGATTGCCCCAGGCATTGCTGAAGAAACTACAGGTTCTGGCAGAAGTCTATACAGAAGTAACCAAAATTAATGTTTAATTTGCCAGAAAAAAATAGTAAAATACATATTTACATGAAAACTCCATATTCTATAATCTTTTAAAAGTATGAAATGGAAACTAAAAATATATGTAGCCTTGTTTTAAATTTTAGAAAAGGAAACTAGTTTTTATATAATGCCAGTATGATATAGGTCAGAAACATTCAAAGTCTAACAAGCATAAAAAGATTCAACTGCTGTAAAAGCAAAACTGATACTGTGAAAATGAAAGAAACTAACGTGACGACTAACGGAGAGGTGGGGTGGTTGTGGCAGTTTTAGAATGACCTCACAGGCCATAGATTTGAATGTTTGGTTTTCAGATAATTTAAGAAAAAGAAGGTGTGGGATTGTTGGATGAAGTGTATTCACTGGGTGTGAACTTTGAGGTTTCAAAAGTCCATGCCAGGTCCAGTGTCTGTCTGTTTCTCTACTTCCAATTTATAGATAAGATGTAAGCTCTCGGCCTGCTCCAGCACCCTGCTTGCCTGCCACCATACTCCTTGCATGATGAGTCATGGACTCACCCTGTAAGCAAGCACCCACTTCAATGTTTTCTTCTATAAGCTGCCTTGGACCTG